TCAGTTTGTCTAGGTCATCTTGAAGTCTCTTGCTGTGTTCCTTTATCTTAATTCGTCTCAGAATTGGGGCATTATCAGTAAACATTGAGAGGAATGAGTCTATTCCCACTGGATGATTGTTTACGTATGATAGAAACATGAGAGGTCCGAATACTGAACCCTGAGGAACTCCACTGGTGACGCCTCGCAACTCTGAAGCATTTCCCACCCCTGAACCCATGTTGGTGGTGTGTTACAGAGTTCCTTCTCTCCAGTTGTGCTACAACCTTCCTTCTCACACAAGTAAGAACAAGTACGTTCCGTAGAACTTCTGGTTGCAATTCTTTTGACCATGTCGTAGCTCAGTCGATTAAGACAGCGTCTGGGATCCTCTCGGACGTAGGTTCGAATCCTCGTCACGGCCCTTGTGGATTTGTTCCTTCTAAAGCTCTTCTCCATCACCTTGCAAGGTATGCAAGTTAGGGACACTTGGCCTGTAGTTCAGTATCTTTCACCTGTCACTATTTTTGTATATTGAACTACATTAAATGCTTTCCTTCTTTCTGGCTAGAGTGTCACTACTCTAGAGGGTAGAATGCCACTAGTCTAGAGGCTAGAGTGCCACTAGTCTAGAGGCTAGAGTGCCACTACTCTAGAGGGTAGAGTGTCACTACTCTAGAGGGTACAGTGTCACTACTCTAGAGGGTAGAGTGTCACTACACTAGAGGGTAGAGTGCCACTAGTCTAGAGGCTAGAGTGCCACTAGTCTAGAGGCTAGAGTGCCACTACTCTAGAGGGTAGAGTGTCACTACTCTAGAGGGTAGAGTGTCACTACTCTAGAGGGTAGAGTGTCACTACACTAGAGGCTAGAGTGCCACTACTCTAGAGGCTAGAGTGCCACTACTCTAGAGGCTAGAGTGCCACTACTCTAGAGACTAGAGTGCCACTACTCTAGAGGGTAGAGTGTCACTACTCTAGAGGCTAGAGTGCCACTACTCTAGAGGCTAGAGTGCCACTACTCTAGAGACTAGAGTGCCACTACTCTAGAGGGTAGAGTGTCACTACTCTAGAGGGTAGAGTGTCACTACTCTAGAGTGTAGAGTGCCACTACTCTAGAGGCTAGAGTGCCACTACTCTAGAGGGTAGAGTGCCACTACTCTAGAGGGTAGAGTGCCACTACTCTAGAGGGTAGAGTGCCACTACTCTAGAGGGTAGAGTGCCACTACTCTAGAGGCTAGAGTGCCACTACTCTAGAGACTAGAGTGCCACTACTCTAGAGGGTAGAGTGTCACTACTCTAGAGGCTAGAGTGCCACTACTCTAGAGGCTAGAGTGCCACTACTCTAGAGACTAGAGTGCCACTACTCTAGAGGGTAGAGTGTCACTACTCTAGAGGGTAGAGTGTCACTACTCTAGAGTGTAGAGTGCCACTACTCTAGAGGCTAGAGTGCCACTACTCTAGAGGGTAGAGTGCCACTACTCTAGAGGGTAGAGTGCCACTACTCTAGAGGGTAGAGTGCCACTACTCTAGAGGGTAGAGTGCCACTACTCTAGAGGCTAGAGTGCCACTACTCTAGAGGCTAAAGTGCTACTACTCTAGAGGCTAGAGTGCCACTACTCTAGAGGCTAGAGTACCACTACTCTAGAGGCTAGAGTGCCACTACTCTAGAGGCTAGAGTGCCACTACTTTAGAGGCTAGAGTGCCACTACTCTAGAGGATAGAGTGCCACTACTCTAGAGGATAGAGTGCCACTACTCTAGAGGGTAGAGTGTCACTACTCTAGAGGGTAGAGTGCCACTACTCTAGAGGCTAGAGTGCTACTACTCTAGAGGCTAGAGTGCCACTACTCTAGAGGCTAGAGTGCCACTACTCTAGAGGCTAGAGTGCCTCTATTCTAGAGGCTAGAGTGCCACTACTCTAGAGGGTAGAGTACCACTACTCACCACACACCTGCCTGAGGGTAGAGTACCACTGCTCACCACACACCTGCCTGAGGGTAGAGTACCACTACTCACCACACACCTGCCTGACGGTAGAGTACCACTACTCACCACACACCTGCCTGAGGGTAGAGTGCCACTACCCACCACACACCTGCCTGAGGGTAGAGTGCCACTACTCACCACACACCTGCCTGAGGGTAGAGTTCCACTACCCACCACACACCTGCCTGACGGTAGAGTTCCACTACTCACCACACACCTGACTGAGGGTAGAGTGCCACTACCCACCACACACCTGCCTGAGGGTAGAGTGCCACTACTCACCACACACCTGCCTGAGGGTAGAGTTCCACTACCCACCACACACCTGCCTGAGGGTAGAGTACCACTACTCACCACACACCTCCCTGAGGGTAGAGTACCACTACTCACCACACACCTGCCTGAGGGTAGAGTTCCACTACTCACCACACACCTGCCTGAGGGTAGAGTTCCACTACTCACCACACACCTGCCTGAGGGTAGAGTTCCACTACTCACCACACACCTGCCTGAGGGTAGAGTACCAGTACTCACCACACACCTGCCTGAGGGTAGAGTACCAGTACTCACCACACACCTGCCTGAGGGTAGAGTACCAGTACTCACCACACACCTGCCTGAGGGTAGAGTACCAGTACTCACCACACACCTGCCTGAGAGAACAGCACCATAACAAACTATAACTCTGGCACCAGCTACACAGCAGGAAGAAAAGTCACATGTGGGACAACACCCGCCTGAGGCAGGTAAACACCAGAGCAATTAGACATGTTCTAGACATGATAGATCCGTCATTACCTCACCCAGGCTCCCCATTACGCCCCTACCACCAACACCACCACCACCAGCCATCATTAGTCCTTAACGACTGGCGAAGCAGTTAGTAATCGCCGCTACCAATCCTCACCCTGGGAATAAATCTATCTGGAATTGACAGTAGCGCGTTAGTGTTTCGTTATTAGGGAGCAGTAACACTGGGAGCTGGAACACTGGCAGCTGGAACACTGGGAGCTGGAACACTGGGAGCTGGAACACTGGATGCTGGAACACTGGATGCTGGAACACTGGGAGCTGGAACACTGGGAGCTGGGACACTGGGAGCTGGAACACTGGTACCTGGAACACTGGGAGCTGGAACACTGGATGCTGGAACACTAGATGCTGGAACACTGGGAGCTGGAACACTGGGAGCTGGGACACTGGGAGCTGGAACACTGGTACCTGGAACACTGGGAGCTGGAACACTGGATGCTGGAACACTGGATGCTGGAACACTGGGAGCTGGAACACTGGGAGCAGTAACACTGGGAGCTGGAACACTGGTACCTGGAACACTGGGAGCTGGAACACTGGATGCTGGAACACTGGATGCTGGAACACTGGGAGCTGGAACACTGGGAGCAGTAACACTGGGAGCTGGAACACTGGTACCTGGAACACTGGGAGCTGGAACACTGGATGCTGGAACACTGGATGCTGGAACACTGGGAGCTGGAACACTGGGAGCTGGGACACTGGGAGCTGGAACACTGGGAGCTGGAACACTGGTACCTGGAACACTGGGAGCTGGAACACTGGATGCTGGAACACTGGATGCTGGAACACTGGGAGCTGGGACACTGGGAGCTGGAACACTGGATGCTGGAACACTAGATGCTGGAACACTGGGAGCTGGAACACTGGGAGCTGGAACACTGGGAGCTGGAACACTGGGAGCTGGAACACTGGGAGCTGGAACACTGGATGCTGGAACACTGGATGCTGGAACACTGGGAGTTGGAACACTGGGAGCTGGAACACTGGATGCTGGAACACTGGGAGCTGGAACACTGGATGCTGGAACACTGGATGCTGGAACACTAGTACCTGGAACACTGGGAGCTGGAACACTGGGAGCTGGAACACTTGATGCTGGAACACTGGGAGCTGGAACACTAGATGCTGGAACACTGGGAGCTGGAACACTGGATGCTGGAACACTGGATGCTGGAACACTGGGAGCTGGAACACTGGATTCTGGAACACTGGGAGCTGGAACACTGGATGCTGGAACACTGGGAGCTGGAACACTGGATGCTGAAACACTGGGAGCTGGAACACTGGGAGCTGGAACACTGGGAGCTGGAACACTGGGAGCTGGAACACTAGTACCTGGAACACTGGAAGCTGGAACACTGGGAGCTGGAACACTGGATGCTGGAACACTGGGAGCTGGAACACTGGGAGCTGGAACACTGGGAGCTGGAACACTGGATGCTGGAACACTAGTACCTGGAACACTGGGAGCTGGAACACTGGATGCTGGAACACTGGGAGCTGGAACACTGGATGCTGGAACACTAGATGCTGGAACACTGGGAGCTGGAACACTGGATGCTGGAACACTGGATGCTGGAACACTGGGAGCTGGAACACTGGATGCTGGAACACTGGGAGCTGGAACACTAGATGCTGGAACACTGGGAGCTGGAACACTGGATGCTGGAACACTGGGTGCTGGAACACTGGAAGCTGGAACACTGGATGCTGGAACACTGGATGCTGGAACACTGGATGCTGGAACACTGGGAGCTGGAAGACTGGATGCTGGAACACTGGGAGCTGGAACACTGGATGCTGGAACACTGGATGCTGGAACACTGGATGCTGGAACACTGGATGCTGGAACACTGGGAGCTGGAACACTAGATGCTGGAACACTGGATGATGTAACACTGGGAGCTGGAACACTGGGAGCTGGAACACTGGGAGCTGGAACACTGGATGCTGGAACACTGGTACCTGGAACACTGGGAGCTGGAACACTAGATGCTGGAACACTGGGAGCTGGAACACTAGTACCTGGAACACTGGGAGCTGGAACACTGGGAGCTGGAACACTGGGAGCTGGAACACTGGGAGCTGGAACACTGGGAGCTGGAACACTGGGAGCTGGAACACTAGTACCTGGAACACTGGGAGCTGGAACACTGGGAGCTGGAACACTGAGAGCTGGAACACTGGGAGCTGGAACACTGGGAGCTGGAACACTAGTACCTGGAACACTGGGAGCTGGAAAACTGGATGCTGGAACACTGGATGCTAGAACACTGGATGCTGGAATACCGGATGCTGGAACACTGGGAGCTGGAACACCGGGAGCTGGAACACTGGGAGCTGGAACACTAGTACCTGGAACACTGGGAGCTGGAACACTGGAAGCTGGAACACTAGATGCTGGTAACTGGCGAGATGACATCCTGACCGTTTCTTTCCGGCGCGGAGGCTGCGTCCGCATACTAAGGAGAGGTTGGTGGCCCTCTGGGTCTAACCAAAGAGCCAGACCCGGGGTATAACCAAAGGAGCGGTCTAACCAAATTTGGTTATACCGCGTCTCCTCGTTCGGAAACAGAGAAAAGGGGGGATAGGAGGGGATTGGGGTTTCAGGAAGAAGTGTTCATATTGTGCTTGCGGAGGTTGAGCTTCGGCTCTTTGGTCCCGCCTCTCGACTGTCAATCAACAGGTGTATTGATAGAAGTGGTATATTGCCATGGGAGTGTTCTTCGTGATGGGAGTGTTCTTCTCCCCGGTGACGCATTTGGAGGAACACGGGGTCGAACCTCGCTAGAACACTGTATTCAGAAGTACACACACATACACACACACACGTGCCTGTATCCATGTATCTTCGTGTATTGACGTGTCTACTTGGAGTATCCCATCTACTCCTCGTTGTAGATGTAGAATTATACTATGGAACACAGAGAGTAGCGCCCCCCCCCCCTCCAGCGAGAACCAGGCAAGGGAAGAGAGAGAGACATGATTCAGACGTATAAAATACTTATAGCGATTGACAGAATGGACACACACGGAACACTAGTACCTGACCACATAAGTCCTGCAGTTATCTTTTAATGGAAGTGAAATGACCTTAATGAATAGGTGGTAGGTTATCTTGAAGTTATCTTGATATCTTGAGGTAGAACGTAACTACCGATTAAAGCAAAGGGGGGGGAGGGTTCAGGAGTTATTGCATTAGACAACTCACGGCTGTAAAGACAGAGCCCAAGAGCTGAAGCTCAGTCTTGCAGGCACAAATAGGCTGCCACATGCACACACACACACACACACACACACACACACACACACACACACACACACACACACACATCAGCGGCATATGCTAGGTTGGCCAACATAAGAACTGCCTTTAGAAACTTGTGTAAGGAATCGTTCAGGACCCTGTATACCACTTATGTCAGACCAATCCTGGAGTATGCAGCTCCAGCCTGGAGTCTATACCTAGTTAAACACAAGACAAAGTTACAGAAGATTCAGCGGTATGCCACCAGGCTCGTCCCGGAACTGAGAGGTATGAGCTACGAGGAAAGGCTAAAGGAGCTGAACCTCACGTCCTTGGAAAACAGAAGAGTAAGGGGAGACATGATAACCACCTACAAAATTCTCAGGGGAATTGACAGGGTGGACAAAGACAAACTCTTCAGCACGGGTGGAACACGAACAAGGGGACACAGGTGGAAACTTAGTACCCACATGAGCCACAGAGACGTTAGAAAGAACTTTTTCAGTGTCAGAGTAGTTAATAAATGGAATGCATTAGACAGTGATGTGGTGGAGGCTGACTCCATACACAGTTTCAAGTGTAGATATGATAGAGCCCAGTAGGCTCAGGAACCTGTACACCAGTTGATTGACAGTTGAGAGGCGGGACCAAAGAGCCAGAGCTCAACCCCCGCAAGCACAAATAGTTGAACGCACACTTAGAAGACACGCAGTATCCATCCTTCTGACAAAACAGGCTGAGAGGATGACGGGTGTTGACCGGTTATATCACCAAGGCTCAAGTGATCCATCAAACGGTTGAGGTTAGCATCAGGTGCTGCAAAGTTGAGATGTATCAGTCATCTGGCCTTGTGTGGAGGAGGAGAGCCAGTCAGGCCGCCACAAAGACTCGTCATGCAAGTTCTCCTTGACGCCTTGACGTCAAGACATCAGGGAAGGTCAAGGAGAAGGTCAATCCTCTCAAATTTTGCCAACGGTTATCTTGAGATGATTTCGGGGCTTAGTGTCCCCGCGGCCCGGTCCTCGACCAGGCCTCCTTTTTGTTACACATCCCCCAGGAAGCAGCCCGTAACAGCTGTCTAACTCCCAGATACCTATTTACTGCTAGGTAACAGGGGGCATCAGGGTGAAAGAAACTCTGCCCATTGTTTCTCTCCGGCGCCCAGGATCGAACTCGCGACCACAGGATCACGCGTCCAGTGTTCTCTTCGCTCAGCCACCGGCCTATTTTTTTTTTTCAGACGTTATAAATGAATCCAAATTCTTTGTGAGATTAAATGAACAAATCCACAAGGGCCGTGACGAGGATTCGAACCTACGTCCGAGAGCATCTCAGACGCTGCCATAATCGACTGAGCTACGACATGGTCAAAAGAGTTGCAACTCAGAATTGTCTTTCTGAGATTTTTCGGCAATTTGGATGCTTAATGGAATTATTTTCACGTCGGAATGGGTAAAGTTTCACCGCGTTTTTAAATCCAGTCGTAGCGTTTGTGCAGCAACCAAGTGACTAACGCATACTCAGGGTGAAAGAAATTCTGCCCAATTGTTTCCGCCATTGACGGGGATCGATTCCCGGACCCCTAGGATTACGAGCCCGCTGTCCATCTGATCCTAGCTCCTTGTCCATTTATCCCAGCTCCTTAGCTTGCTATCCCAGCTCCTTGTCTTGCTATCCCAGCTCCTTGTCTTGCTATCCCAGCTCCTTGGCCTGCTATCCCAGCTCCTTGTCCATATATCCCAGCTCCTTGTCCATATATCCCAGCTCCTTGTCCATATATCCCAGCTCTTTGTCCATATATCCCAGCTCCTTGTTCATATATCCCAGCTCCTTGTTCATATATCCCAGCTCCTTGGGCTGCTATTCCAGTTCCTTAATGTACTCAAATCCCCTATATCTTATCTTTCCTTATATCTAAATTTTGTCTTGGCTGCTTCTTGAAGATTTTATATCTTGTACTCAGTTGAAATGACCAGATTCCTGCCACTGCATGGGTACTCTATATGGGTACTCTATGTGGGTACTCTATGTGGGTACTCTATTATAGGTACTCTATGTGGGTACTCTATGTGGGTACTCTATGTGGGTACTCTATTATAGGTACTCTATGTGGGTACTTTATTATGGGTACTCTAGCCTGGTATTCATGGGAGATTCCCCATTAAATACAGAGACAGACCAATTAAGACCAATCAGGCCAGACCAATCATCACCAATCTCTTCCTGAACACAGAGACAGCCCATTAGCGTAGTGCCACGATGACTCTCGAGATTGGGGGTGGCACTCAGGGCATCTCAGGTCTCGCTATCGGTGAATATGGTTATCGTAGTGTTATCGGTGGGTATATACGTGGCTGTAATCACGCTCACGTCTACCGCCCGCTGTACGGGCTGTGTGTGATACACGCTGTGTGTAAACAGCGTTGCTTATAAACCGCAGAGCTGACTTTAACAATTTTGTTAATTATAGCCTAGCGGAATCTTCCCCCTGTCCGCACCCAGTTAGCCCATCACAGCGTTTTCTTATCTGGCCTTTAATTACCACCTTACTGAATAGTAGTCATTTTTCAAGGAGTTACGAGCCAAATTGTCGGTTCGTTTCCCTCCCCCCCCCTCCTCCCCTTAGGATCATCTTCCAGTTTCTCAAGTTTATTTTCTCAGGCAGTTTCGTGACAGAAAATGGATGACTTGAGGCCGATACGCGAGTTTTTTTGGGGGTGTCTTGCGTCGTCTGTTGCTTTCACACACGATTTTTGGCTTCCACTGATTATGGCCGCGTTGGCTTCATCTCCCACTACCACCTCTTGACATCTCCATCATCTGCAGCATCTTTCCATCAACGCGGGATCTCCTAAAGCTGTAATTGATAGTTTGACCCACGTAGTTAAAGATTTACGATGTGGCTGACTCATTTTTCACGGCGGTAATTCCACAGTCGTGGGCGCTTGCGGCGGCTGTCTGTCTGGGATGCGAACCCAGGGAGGGGACTCGCCCAAGCCTCCTCCTTCATATACGCCAGAAACCCAGCCTCCAGAATTATACCACGTACCTACCTGTATCTCTCTCGCGGGTCATCATTTTTAGACAAATTCTCCTGCGTCCTGCAAGGTCCTTAATCCTAATTTTCACACACACAGATCACCAGGAAGCAGCCTGTAACAATTAACTAACTCCCAGGTACCCTTTTACTGCTAGGTGAACAGTAAATCAGGGGTAAAAAAAAGAAACTCATTTGTTTCCGCCTCCACCGGGGATCGAACCTATACCTCTTAGGAATATGAACCCCGAGCGCTGTTCACTCAGCCGTCAGGACCCCCATGTTGAAGAACACGTTGAGGAACCTGTTGAAAACGGGTTATAGTTACTGAGACGCGATCAGGGGTAAATAAAGTTATCACACAGCTCGTAGAATAAACCACACGAGACATGTCAAAAATAAATCCGGTTTGAGCAAGGGAAGCTGGAGGAGGGAGGGGGGGGGGGCGTGGGGGGACATGGGGGAGATGAGGGGGGGGGGGGCAAGGAAGATATCCACACTCATCTCCGCCCGGGCCTGTGATGCTCAGTCTAAATTGTACTCAGGTTCTAATTACTACTCTTACGGGGGCGGCCATTTTTCCCGAAAAGACATCAATCACCACCTCAGCAGTTGGCCTATACACGGTTCCAGGCTTTATTCTCCTAGTTTGTAAGGTCCGGAATGGCTTATATATATACCTGGCGAGTCTGCCTGTCCTGCCCGCAATGGGTGTCCATGTAAGCCTCTAGATTACAAACAAGATTGCCGAGGTAAGGTGATGATGTCTGTCTTCAGAAATGATACACTTAAGTCGACCGTTTATGATTTTAGAAGGTGATACTTGTCCCCCCCCACACACCGATTCCGGGGGCGCTGGCTTACCGGATCCGGGGGCGCTGGCTTACCGGATCCGGGGGCGCTGGCTTACCGGATCCGGGGGCGCTGGCGTACCGAATCCGGGGGGCGCTGGCTTACCGGATCCAGGGGCGCTGGCTTACCAAATCCGGGGGCGCTGGCGTACCGAATCCGGGGGGCGCTGGCTTACCGGATCCGGGGGCGCTGGCTTACCAAATCCGGGGGCGCTGGCGTACCGAATCCGGGGGCGCTAGCTTACGGGATCCGGGGGCGCTGGCTTACCGAATCCGGGGGCGCTGGCGTACCGAATCCGGGGGCGCTGGCGTACCGAATCCGGGAGCGCTGGCTTACCGGATCCGGGGGCACTCGCGTACCGAATCCGGGGGCGCTGGCTTACCGAATCCGGGGGCGCTGGCTTACCGGATCCGGGGGCGCTGGCTTACCGTATCCGGGGGCGCTGGCGTACCGAATCCGGGGGCGCTCGGGACTGCACGACTTGGAACGAACTCCAACCTGCACTACAGGATTCGATACTAAGTTTCCTCGCCTAATATGGAATGCAAATTAGAGCCCCCTCGGGTTTAACGCGTAAGAGATTCGAGAGTCTGAGACCTTAGCTGATGGAGATGGAGGTGGGCTTGATATTTACGATGCAGAGGAGTTTAGGATGTTGGGGTGAAGGTTGAGTAGCGAGGGTTGCAGGTTAGGAAGGAGTGGGTGGAGGCGGTGGCCTGGGTACGAAGGGTTCCACGGAGGAGGGAGAGGCTGTAGTTAGAGTTTTGGGACGTCGAACTGCTATAGCATGGCTGGACGAGGTGGCTTAGAGTATGGGTTGGTGTGTGAGGTGAGAATGGAAACGAGGAGAGGGATTAGGATTGTGATGAGATGAGGAAGGAGATTGGCTTGGGAGGAAGGTACCTTCCTCCCAAGCCAACTTCTTTTACAGTGTTACCTAATCTCTCTCTCTCACTCTCTTACAGTCTCACCTAATCTCTCTATTTTACAGTCTCACCTAATATCTCTATTTTACAATCTCACCTAATCTCTCTCTCTTACAATCTCACCTAATCTCTCTCTCTTACAGTCTCACCTAATTTCTCTATCTCACAATCTCACCTAATCTCTCTCTATCTTACAATCTCACCTAATCTTTCAATCTCACAATCTCACCGAATCTCTCTCTTACAATCTCACCTAATCTCTCTCTCTTACAATCTTACCTAATCTCTCTATCTTACAATCTCGCCTAATCTTTCTATCTCACAATCTCACCTAATCTCTCTATCTCACAATCTCACCTGTAAACTGTAATTAAAAGATAATACATTAATCCTTCTTGCATAGCATCGTCAGATCAGTATGAAATGCCCCCAAACATCCATGGGTATGCCCTGGCACGGAGGGTATACGTGCCCCTCCCCCCCCCCCTCTGGCACGGAAAGATGTACGTGCCTCTCCCCCCCCCTCCAATCTCTCTCTGGCACGAAGTTCCTTGACCAATGACAGTCTTGACCAATGACAGTCTTGACCAATGACAGTCTTGACCAATGACAGTCTTGACCAATGACAGTCTTGACCAATGACAGTCTGGACCAATGACAGTCTTGACCAATGACAGTCTTGACCAATGACAGTCTTGACCAATGACAGTCTTGACCAATGACAGTCTGGACCAATGACAGTCTTGACCAGTGACAGTCTGGACCAATGACAGTCTGGACCAATGACAGTCTGGACCAATGACAGTCTGGACCAATGACAGTCTTGACCAATGACAGTCTTGACCAATGACAGTCTGGACCAATGACAGTCTTGACCAATGACAGTCTTGACCAATGACAGTCTTGACCAATGACAGTCTTGACCAATGACAGTCTTGACCAATGACAGTCTTGACCAGTGACAGTCTTGACCAATGACAGTCTTGACCAATGACAGTCTTGACCAATGACAGTCTTGACCAATGACAGTCTTGACCAATGACAGTCTTGACCAGTGACAGTCATGACCAGTGACAGTCTTGACCAGTGACAGTCTTGACCAGTGACAGTCTGGACCAATGCCAGTCTGGACCAATGACAGTCTGGACCAATGACAGTCTTGAAAAATGACAGTCTTGACCAATGACAGTCTTGACCAATGACAGTCTTGACCAATGACAGTCTTGACCAATGACAGTCTTGACCAATGACAGTCTTGACCAATGACAGTCTTGACCAGTGACAGTCTTGACCAGTGACAGTCTTGACCAGTGACAGTCTGGACCAATGACAGTCTTGACCAGTGACAGTCTGGACCAATGACAGTCTTGACCAATGACAGTCTGGACCAATGACAGTCTTGACCAATGACAGTCTGGACCAATGACAGTCTTGACCAATGACAGTCTGGACCAATGACAGTCTGGACCAATGACAGTCTTGACCAATGACAGTCTTGACCAATGACAGTCTTGACCAATGACAGTCTTGACCAATGACAGTCTGGACCAATGACAGTCTGGACCAATGACAGTCTTGACCAATGACAGTCTTGACCAATGACAGTCTTGACCAATGACAGTCTTGACCAGTGACAGTCTTGACCAATGACAGTCTTGACCAATGACAGTCTTGACCAATGACAGTCTGGACCAATGACAGTCTGGACCAATGACAGTCTTGACCAATGACAGTCTTGACCAATGACAGTCTGGACCAATGACAGTCTTGACCAATGACAGTCTTGACCAATGACAGTCTTGACCAATGACAGTCTTGACCAATGACAGTCTGGACCAATGACAGTCTTGACCAATGACAGTCTTGACCAATGACAGTCTGGACCAATGACAGTCTTGACCAATGACAGTCTGGACCAATGACAGTCTGGACCATTGACAGTCTTGACCAATGACAGTCTTGACCAATGACTGTCTGAACCAATGACAGTCTTGACCAATGACAGTCTTGACCAATGACAGTCTTGACCAATGACAGTCTTGACCAATGACAGTCTTGACCAATGACAGTCTTGACCAATGACAGTCTGGACCAATGACAGTCTTGACCAATGACAGTCTTGACCAATGACAGTCTGGACCAATGACAGTCTTGACCAATGACAGTCTGGACCAATGACAGTCTTGACCAATGACAGTCTGGACCAATGACAGTCTTGACCAATGACAGTCTTGACCAATGACAGTCTTGACCAATGTACAAACGTTTGACAAATCCACTAATGCCAGGATTAATCCAACACTTAAGTGCACCAATGCCAGGATTAATCCAGCACTTAAGTACACCAATGCCAGGATTAATCCAGCACTTAAGTGCACCAATGCCAGGATTAATCCAGCACTTAAGTGCACCAATGCCAGGATTAATCCAGCACTTAAGTGCACCAATGCCAGGATTAATCCAGCACTTAAGTACACCAATGCCAGGATTAATCCAGCACTTAAGTGCACCAATGCCAGGATTAATCCAGCACTTAAGTGCACCAATGCCAGGATTAATCCAGCACTTAAGTGCACCAATGCCAGGATTAATCCAGCACTTAAGTACACCAATGCCAGGATTAATCCAGCACTTAAGTACACCAATGCCAGGATTAATCCAGCACTTAAGTGCACCAATGCCAGGATTAATCCAGCACTTAAGTGCACCAATGCCAGGATTAATCCAGCACTTAAGTACACCAATGCCAGGATTAATCCAGCACTTAAGTACACCAATGCCAGGATTAATCCAGCACTTAAGTACACCAATGCCAGGATTAATCCAGCACTTAAGTGCACCAATGCCAGGATTAATCCAGCACTTAAGTGCACCAATGCCAGGATTAATCCAGCACTTAAGTACACCAATGCCAGGATTAATCCAGCACTTAAGTACACCAATGCCAGGATTAATCCAGCACTTAAGTGCACCAATGCCAGGATTAATCCAGCACTTAAGTACACCAATGTCAGGATTAATCTAGTACTTAAGTTCTCCATAGCCAGGATTAATCCAGCATCTCCATCAGTACACCTATGCCAGGATTAATCCAATAATCCTGGGTTGTGAGGCATCTAAGCTCATAAACATCTTCAGAAACGCAGACTATTCTGCTGAGATTGGGGGGAAAAGATGCACAGGTTTCGTATGTTTGTGTGGTTGTGTGATTTGATAGGCCTACTGAGCACCACAAGGCAGGCATGGTTAGCTTTGTATAACAAATGTTGATCTTTCATTAAAAAAAAATGTGTTTAGCTTCCCTCTATGTTGGAGGGTGGGGGGGTGGGGTGTTAGGTGTTCCATCTATGTGGGGGGGGGGGGGTTTAGGTGTTCCATCTATGTGGGGGGGGGGTTAGGTGTTCCATCTATGTTGGTGGTCATCTCCAGCATCCATCACTGTGGCTATCATCAGCAGCATCTCAATCTCCATCTATCTGAGTGCCACTCTCCATCCTCGTTAGTCGTATATAGGTCCTCTCCCTCACTCTCTCCACTGCGGTCCCCTCTCCTTATATTCCCTCCCCCCCCTCTCTCCCTCACCTCTCCATCGATCTGTCTCTCCCCCTTCTCTATTATCGAGTACATCTTCATCACCTCCTCCTCCCTCTCTCTCTCTCTCTCTCTCTCTCTCTCTCTCACCTACTATGACCTCTAAGGAAAATTATTTATTTTGTGCATATTAAACTTGTTCATTAGACATATTCATGTGTCGTATCACATCAGATAATTTAATTTTAATTAATGGTCGTACATCAATAATTGAGTAGTTTACGCAAAATTTTTATGTATTATTTGCATCAGGAAAAGTCCTCATAATATGATAACACGTCATCACGTCATGATACGGTAACACGTCATCACGTCATTATACGATAACACGTCATCACGTCATTATACGATAACACGTCATCACACGATAACACGTAATCAAGACATAATAACACTTAATCTCGTCACAATAATACGTCATCACGTCATAATGACATGTCATTACGTCATCATACGATAACACGTAATCACGTTATAATAAGTTGATATCACGTCATTACAGATCTGTCTGCAGAGATCAGGCTGTGTAGTAGCATCCATGCAGCATCATACAGCATCATACAGCATCCATACAGCATCCATACAGCATCATACAGCATCATACAGTATCATACAGTATTATACAGCATCATACAGCATCATACAGCATCATGCAGCATCATACAGCATACAGCATCATACAGCATCATACAGCATCATACAGCATCATACAGCATCCATACAGCATCATACAGCATCATGCAGCACCATACAGCATCATACAGCATCATGCAGCATCATACAGCATCCATACAGCATCATACAGCATCATACAGCATCATACAGCAGCCATACAGCATCATACAGCATCATACAGCATCATGCAGCATCATACAGCATCATACAGCATCATACAGCATCCATACAGCATCATACAGCATCATACAGCTTCATACAGTATTATACAGCATCATACAGCATCATATAGCATCATACAGCATCATACAGCATCATACAGCATCCATACAGCATCATACAGCATCATACAGCATCATTCAGCATCCATACAGCATCATACAGCATCATACAGCATCATACAGCATCATACAGCATCATATAGCATCATACAGCATCATACAGCATCATACAGCATCCTGCAGCATCATACAGTATTATACAGCATCATACAGCATCATACAGCATCATGCAGCATCATACAGCATCATACAGTATTATACAGCATCATACAGCATCATATAGCATCATACAGCATCATACAGCATCCTGCAGCATCATACAGTATTATACAGCATCATACAGCATCATACAGCATCATGCAGCATCATACAGCATCATACAGCATCATACAGCATCATGCAGCATCATACAGTATTATACAGCATCATACAGCATCATACAGTATTATACAGCATCATACAGCATCATGCAGCATCATGCAGCACCATACAGCATCATACAGCATCATACAGCATCATACAGCATCATGCAGCATCATACAGTATTATACAGCATCATACAGCATCATACAGCATCATACAGCATCATGCAGCATCATACAGCATCATACAGCATCATACAGTATTATACAGCATCATACAGCATCATACAGCATCATGCAGCATCATACAGCATACAGCATCATACAGCATCATACAGCATCATACAGCATCATGCAGCATCATGCAGCATCATACAGCATCATGCAGCATCATGCAGCATCATACAGCATCATGCAGCATCATACAGCATCATACAGCATCATACAGCATCATGCAGCATCATGCAGCATCATACAGCATCATACAGCATCATGCAGCATCATGCAGCTTGCACTTAGCGCAGTGGGAGTCATTCCGGAGAAACACAGGGCATCATGTTAGAATGATAACACAATTGGAGTATATATGTGCACATATGTCTATCACTAGTAACATCTATTAGTAGTAGTAGTGTCTATCACTATTTATGTCTATCACTATAGTGTTCATAAAAATTAAAAAAAAATAAAATATAACTTTGCATTAATTTGCCAAAAGGTGTTGTGTAGTGTAGTTGAGTTGTTTCTTCAAGGGCTTAAATTCACTCTATCATTCGGTCCTCTCATGGGGGCTTTTCTCCCCCCCCATCCCCCCAAACCCTCCACCCCATAACAACCCCCCCTTACCCCCCCCCATCCCCCCCATCCCCGGGGCTCTGTGTGCCAATGCTTGGGATGAGTGATGGGTGAAGCATTCAACTACCCATTAAAAAAAATAAAGCCAGGCCTCTCCCCATACAAGTAATCCAGACCTGCCTATCCGTCAATCCATTGCAACCCCCCCCCCATCCTCACCTCTTTCTGATTCTATCCCTTTCCCCCTCTTCTCCGCCCTACCCCATTCCCACTCTTAATAGTGACTCGTTCTACACACCATTCATTCCCCATTTCTAGCTTACCACACCCATTTAGGATACGGGAATAGGGGGTGGATGAGTATTTCACCCATCTCATCTCAGTTCGACCCCCGCCCCTGCACCCATAAAACCCCCACTGTAACCACCCCCCCACTCCCTTATCCACCTCCACCCCCTCATCCACCCCCACCCCCCTTATCCAGTACTACACATCCACCCAATCCACTTTGGGACACCATATTGGTTAGGCCACTCTGGGCTCCTGCCCCCTCCTAATTCACCCATTCCCCCCCCCCATTTTCACCCATCTCCCCCCCCCCCCTGTCACCCACTCAATATACAACCGCATCACAACACCACACTCAGTCCTACGGGCTCACCATAGCCCGTGCTACTTGGAACTTGTTCCGAGTAGCTGAATCTTTAACAACAACAACAAACCACACTGAAACTTTTGTTCCATCAAACTGTTAGGTCAAGACAAAGGGCGGGCTAAATCAAGTGGCAGTTCAGGGCCCCTTTTTTTGTGTGTAGTGAAGATTTGCCCCCATTGACGTAGCTGCGATAGCAGTAATGGCCAATTTATTAATCCGATTAATTGATGATAAACTCCAAAATCGCCTTCTAACCCCCCCTCCCCCACCAACACCCCCCCACCCCCCCCCAACAAACACCCCCCCCCCCAACCCCCCCCCCAACCCCCCCCCCCAACCCCCCCCCCCCAAACCCCCCCCCCCGCTCCAAAAAAAAATTGACGATTGAGCCATCATGTTCGCTGCCACAAGGGGGGAAAAAAATAAATAAACTGGGTTCACTTCTTAAATCTATGTGAAGTAAATTTTGACTCGTTGAGCTGTAATTTATAGATTAAAATAACATGTAATTATCGGCTGGTGAGGGAGGGAGGGAGGGAGGGAGGGAGGGAGAGGGTGAGGGAGTGAGAGAGTGGGGGAGTGAGGGAGGGAGTGAGTGAGTGAGGGAGTGGGTGAGGGAGTGAATGAGGGAGTGAGGGAGGGAGTGAGTGAGGGAGTGAAGGAGTGAGGGAGTGAGTGAGGGAGGGAGTGAGTGAGTGAGGGAGGGAGTGAGTGAGGGAGTGAGTGAGGGAGTGAGGGAGTGAGTCAGTGAGTGAGAGAGTGAGGGAGGGAGTGAGTGAGGGAGGGAGTGAGTGAGGGAGGCAGTGAGTGAGGGAGTGAGTGAGTGAGGGAGGCAGTGAGTGAGGGAGTGAGTGAGTGAGGAAGTGAGTGAGGGAGTGAGTGAGGGAGTGAGTGAGTGAGGGAGTGAGTGTGGGAGTGAGTGAGTGAGGGAGTGAGGGAGGGAGTGAGTGAGTGAGGGAGTGAGTGAGGGAGTGAGTGAGGGAGGGAGTGAGGGAGTGAGTGAGGGAGTGAGTGAGTGAGTGAGTGAGGGAGGGAGTGAGTGAGTGAGTGAGTGAGTGAGTGAGTGAGTGAGTGAGTGAGTGAGGGAGGCAGTGAGTGAGGAGTGAGTGAGGGAGTGAGTGAGGGAGTGAGTGAGGGAGTGAGGGAGTGAGGGAGTGAGTGAGTGAGTGAGTGAGGAGTGAGTGAGTGAGGGAGTGAGTGAGTGAGGGAGTGAGGGAGTGAGTGAGTGAGTGAGTGAGTGATGAGTGAGGGAGTGAGTGAGGGAATGAGGGAGTGAGTGAGTGAGGGAGGGAGTGAGGGAGTGAGGGAGTGAGTGAGTGAGGGAGTGAGTGAGGGAGGGAGGGAGGGAGTGAGTGAGTGAGGGAGTGAGTGAGTGAGTGAGTGAGTGAGTGAGTGAGGAGAGTGAGTGAGGGAGTGAGGGAGTGAGTGAGTGAGTGAGTGAGGGAGGGAGTGAGTGAGGGAGGGAGTGAGTGAGGGAGGGAGTGAGTGAGGGAGTGAGTAAGTGAGGGAGTGAGTGAGTGAGGGAGTGAGTGAGTGAGGGAGTGAGTGAGGGAGGGAGTGAGTGAGTGAGTGAGGGAGTGAGTGAGGGAGGGAGTGAGGGAGTGAGTGAGTGAGTGAAGGAGTGAGTGAGTGAGTGAGTG